CCAGCACTTTAGGGGCAGATCCATGATCTCTCTTGTTCCCTAATTGCCTAATTCCCTAATTGAAGTCGTCCGAAGCAGCCATTCCACCCCCACCCACTCCAAAGGAAATTGATTCCATGCTTGTGTAATAAAGCTAGAGTTTCTTTGCCATTCACCCACCTCCGGGCTCCTCCCACCAATTTCTTTCTTTCTTTATGTGTATGTGTATGTGTATATAACTTCTAAGATTTAAAGTACATATTCTTTAAATGTTTAGAAGAGACAGTAGAGAAAAAAGGGTGTGACTTAGGGGTCTGCACCCAGATTAAAATAAGATTACTGAAGTATAGTATACATTCAAAAGGACATATATTATTTTTTTCGTGTTTGTTTATTTTTGACAGAGACACACCGAGTGAGCAGGAGAGGGCCAGATAGGGAGCCACAGGATCCAAGCAGGCTCCAGGCTCTGAGCTGTCAGCACAGAACCTGATGTGGGGCTCGAACTCACAAACCATGGGATCATGACCTGAGCCAAAGTTGGACACTTAAGTGACTAGCCACCCAGGCACGCAAAAAAGAACATATATTATTAAAAGTATTCTGAGCACAGCTTGATGCAATTCAGTTCAATGTACTTGTGGAATCAGCACTCATTAAAAAAGGTACTAGGACCCCAAGGGAAACCTGTGCCTCTTTCAGTCACGGTCTATCTCTCCTTTGGGACGGCAATTATTCTGACTTCTTACAGAATATACAACTTTTGCTTGTTTTGGACTATGTAGAAATGGAATTATGTGTCCTACACCTAGCTTCTTTCACTCAAACTTATGTTAGTGATATTCATGTTATTGTATATATAGATCCTTTCTGCTCATTGGTGTATAGAATTTCATTATATGAATAGTTTACAATATTTCTGCAACTCTTGGTGGAGATCTAGGTAGGTTCTGGCTTAGGGTAATTATGAATAAAGCTTCAGTGAATATTATAGGACACGTCCTTTGGTGAACATTTTTTACAATAGTATTTATTTATCTAGGAGAGAATTTGCCAGGTCACATGTCATCCAACTTATCAGCTTTGGTAAGGTTCCTCCAAAGTGTTTCCAAAATGGTTATACCAATTTACACAATCTTCTCTCTATAGCAGTGCCTGTGTAGTGCCTGTGCTCTGAATACTTGATAGCCTTGCCAACACTTGCTAATATGGTCTTTTTCATGTTATCTATTCTGACAGGTGTACAGATTTTTTTTTATTTGAGAAATATCAATCCAAGTATTGTATACAAATAGTTAAAAAAAAAACCCACAACATCCAAATTGCAGATCAGGACTTGCAATAAAAAATCAAAAGCTTTGTTTCCCCCATGAACACCTCTTCCCCAGAGGCAACACTTTCTTTGGTTTTCTTTTTTCTTTTTTTTTTAAATCAGGGTTTTTTTTAAACAGACCATTTTTTAAGGACAAGTTTACATTTAGAGACAAATTGCACAAATTACGGCTTCCTCACCCCCAGTAGTTTCTATAGTACCTTGCACTAATGTGGATACATTAATTATAAGTGGTGGATGAGCCATTCTTGACTGACACATTATCATTAGACACATTATAATTTACTAATAGTTAGGGTTTATTTTGTGTTATATAGATTCATAAGTTTTGAGAAATGTATAATGGTATGTATCTACTATTGCAGTATCGTACAGAATAGTTTCACCACCCTAAAGTGCCCTGTGCTCCGACTAGTACTACTTCCTCTCTCCCCCTAAACCCTAATAGCCACTGGTCTTTTTACTGTTTCCGAAGGTGTTTTGTTGTTGTTGTTGTTGTTGTTGTTGTTGTTGTTGTTGTTGTTGAAGTGTCATTGTTTTGTTTTCTTTTATTTTGTTTTTCAGAACGTTATCATAGTTGGAAACGTAAAGCAAATGGCTTTTTCGTATTGGATCCCTTCACTTAGTAATCCACACTGAAGTTTCCTCCATGACTTTTAAGTAGCTCCCTTTCTCCCTCTTTCCTTCCCTCCTCTTCTGTCTCTCTGCCTCGCTTTCACTGAGGGAGTTTATTTTCTAAAACAGCTTTTAAAAAGCTGGTTTACAGAAAAAGACTGGAAAGTGCAGAGTTCCCCTGTTCTCCCTCCTACCCCCCAAAACATAGTTTTCCCTATTGTAGACTTCTTGTGTCAGTGTAGTGCATTTGTTACAACGGATGAGCCCATATGAAAACTATTTATAACTACAGACCGAAGTTTACCTTAGCATTCACTGTGGTGTGCAGTTCGGTGAGTTTTGACAAACGCACAATGCCATAATTGAAAGCATTTCACTGTCTTACAAGATGTTTCACTGCCGTGAATATTCCCTGTGTTCATCTATTATTCATCTCTCCCTTCCCCCCTGAGTTCCTGGCAACCACAGGTCTCTTTACCGTCTCCATTATTTGAGGCAACACTTTTTACTGTTCCAGATTTATATTCTTTTGTTAGTAATCTTCATGAAGATAAGTAGTATAGTATACTGCTGCTTATTGATTTGTCAGTTTTAAGCACTGTCTACTGACTTCCTATGTGAAGTTGACGTATAGGTCGCTTAAGCCACCTGTCTTCTCTCTCCTCACCTTCCGATATATTCCCGAACTTCTATCTGTATACTGTTTCAGTCAGGTCCAGCCAGCCGGTGAGTCACTATATGTATTTAAACAGTTACACACGTGATGGGAAATCCCAGAAGCCAAACAAAGGATGGCGAAGCAATCAGGAATTCGTATCATCAGAAAGCTGTTTCCACCCCCAGAGCTTGAGAAATTCAGAACCATATCTAGCAGGAACTGAGAACATGGGAGAAGAGGCTCTTGGAAAGAAGCTAGAATTTGGAGGAGATAAAATCACTGGTAGGAAGTGGAGCAGGAGAGAGGAAAACCTCTGGGCTTATACCTTCCTCCCTTTATCCCATCAAACACCCATTTGTCAAACCCCTCTGGAAGCCAGTTGGCAAGGAACCAGGAAACACAGTCTGTAGGAGAAGTGCAGGAACTGGATCTGAGGGCAAAAAGACATAACGGATGAAGTTATATATAGGTACTAGTTAGGGTTCTCCAGAGACTCAGTATCAATGGGAATTGGTTCACAGGATTACGGAGGCTGGGAAGGGCACACCCAGGAGATCCAGTAGTTTAGTTCCAGGCAGACTCCCAAAGCCTAAGAATCAGGAGAGCTGATGATGTATGTTCCATTCCAAGTCCGAGCCTGAAGTCAGGAGACCAATATCGCAGCTTGAAGACAGTCACATAGACACAGTGGATTCTCTCTTACTCCGCCTTTTGTTCTCTTCAGGTCTTCAATCGATTAGTTGAGGCCACGCTGTGGTTGGGAGGCAATGTGTCTTGCTTAGTCTACTGATATACAGATCTTATTTGTACTAAGAAATGTCCTCACAGACTCACTAGAAATAATGTTTAGCTATACATCTGGGTATCCTGTGGCTTAGCCCAGTTAAAACGTGGAATTAACCATCACACGATATATTTTTATGTTTATATGTATGTATGTATGTATGTAT